AAAGAGAGAAACTGCACAAATAATAAATCATCTGAGGAGTGGTGGGGTGCACAAGTGAGATTAATCAAAACTTAATCAGTGATGTCTAGAAGTGGATGAAGAAATAATGAAGTACCCCCGAAGCCAATTATTGTAATTTAGAAGTGGAAAGCTGCATCATTTCCTCACAGTTTGAGCTAATTTGATCAGGAGTGTGAAACATATCAAGTGTGACACATGGACTAACAAGGTTTAGCACCCACCATGTCCCATCAGTGTGAACAATGAAAACACTAGAGAGCTGTGGTTTGATGTATTATTTCCCTCTGGATTAGTGAGAATCTCATTTGTAATGTGCAGCATAAACACAAAACATATTGATTTCTTCCAGTTCTTAACTTAGCATCTTGCCTAATTAGTTTTTATTCTTATTTCTTAAAAAAAAAGGCATACAAAAAAAGAACTGTATTTATTTGGAGTCAACCTGTAAGTAAACTTTTGTTGCCAGCTTGTGGTACTTGACAATTTCAATGCTGTGCATATAGAGTGGTATAAAACACTGAGCTTTAAAGCTGCTAATTTAAATTTATAGGCAGCATCTTAGCATATTGTAGCTCAAGGTTTTGGTTTTACTGGCCCACAACTAAAATGTTGTCACTTGCACCATTCTCAACAACTATGCACTTAGGAATTGGCAACAGCTATTAGCCATTAACTACCTGCCCAACATAAAACAGCAGACAAAATTAGCAGCTATAGCTGATGTGCATACATAATGGCCATTCAGCCACTAAATATATGGGTATTTGCCTCAGGAGTTAGGAGACTGAATATTAGACTTTGATTCACGAGGTTGACAGAAAAACAATTCTAAATCAATGATAATGTTGCACCTTGTCAGCTGGTTGTTTAAATAAGCAACTCAAAAAAAAAACAACCTAAGGCCTATTGATGTAATTTTTCATTTGTTAGAAAACACTCTAAAAAGAAAAGCAAAAAGCACGACTCCATTTGTTATCAGTCATATTACAGCATTATACTTAAACTTCATGTCAGGAAACCTCTCCTCAACCACGATTTAAGACCCGTATAATGTACTTCCTGTTACATGAAGACAGAATTGGCAGTGTGGGTGAATTGTACAGATCTGGTCTTTGACACTAACTGAATTCAAGAGGCCCGTGTCCCAGCTGCTAACAAAGAAGAGGTGAGGTTTATTGACGTATACTGCAAGCAGCCACCTGGGGGGGAATCGACTTGCTGTAGCTTCACATCTGGGAGCTGTCACATCATACATCTTTATATACAGTCCATGAGGTAACGAATAAAGCCATGTTTATACATCAGCTGATATTGGCTTATTGCAAATATACAGAATCAGTGCTGGTGTGTAGTTTGTCCACCACAGAATAGTGACATGTTTATGTTTATGCAAAATGTCTCTCCTACCAGGTCTTTGTATGGGTGTGCCTTAGCTTTGCAAATGACACCACCACTGAGGCCAGGTTACACCACAATTTCAAATTACTCCAGTGGAACCATCACGTTCAGAGGATTTGCTCATGGGGACGAAGTAAATCCATACAAATGTTTCACTTCAAGTTCAAGTCTGACCCGCAAATTTACACCAGTGACCATGTCTTGTAGACAGGTGAGTCCATCGCCATCCACTTTCATTTAACCTTCTATGTCAAAGTGAAATCTGCTCTATAAACACAGGAGTGAGACATAGTTAGAAAAACAACCATTCACACTCATATCCACAACTTGCATGTCTTGGGACTGCGGGAAGAGACACACAGTGGCACAGAGAGGACACACAACTCCACCTTACTGTAGGTTTATATAAATGAGACTGAACCTATTCTTGATTGTACTCATTAGCACTCATTTCTTAATTTGTTATAAATTTAAAGGCTACACTACACACTAAAGTAGGTTTACTGAGTCCACTGTAAATCACCATCACTTTGGTCATTTAACAACAGTGATGATGTGGGTTGCCACAGCTGCTAATTCAGACATCTTTTTCGGTCAGAAGCTGCTTGTGCACATCAGGAAAGCAACGGAGTGCAAAAGAAAGTTTTCTGCTAGTGAGCTCAGTTAAAGAAATGCCTATATTTCAGTCTAGAGTATGCCATTTCTTTCCCAGTACAAAGGGAGGGCAAAGGAAAATATCACATGCATGTTCAATTCCTTGACTAGATTGGAAACAGAAAAACAAATGGTGCTGTGTCAGTGTCAGCCAAGGAATATTACATGCTCACGGACACAACGTGGACAGACAGTGGGTCAGTCTTGCATGGATGCAGAACAACCTTGACCAGCGGTGTGCTGTATAGACACTTATGTGAACACGGAACCTTCAAAGAGCAGATTGCGATCTATTTCTCATATCTCCGCCTGACACCTGCATATCATACCCACACCACACCTTAGTCTGGGGGAGCAGCTATAAGCTAGCAAACACATTTCATATTTCATGCCCCCCTTAACACATGCATGATTCATATCAAATCTCCAGGAGTATTTTAAGCGTACTCTGGCACACACGGACATACTTCGATATGTCAAAGCAAAAGTATGTTAACAGTGGCTGCACAATAAAGTCACACGTTGAGAAGACAACTAACTGTATACAGAAAGTATTCAGACTCCTTCACTTTTTGCACACTTCACTGAGGTCTAGATGGGTAAAGTGAAAACATTTTTGCAAATAAATAAATACTGTATCTCATTTACAAAATTGTTCAGAACCCTAACTCTTAAGTCAGTAGTTTGTAGAAGCCTATGGAAGTAAAGTGTGGATACCTGGACTGAGCCCAGTGGAACACAAGGGTTCGGGCCAGGTTCGGACATAAATCATGTTCAGATCAGGGTCGGGTTCAGACACATAGGTCAAACTTTAGACTTGATGGCTGCAGCTTCAAATCTTCTTGGTTTAAGTCTCTACAGGCTATGCACACCTGGAATTTGGCAGTTTACCCTGTCAAGCTCCATCAGATTGGATGTGAAGTGGCTGTGAACCGCTATGTTCAAGTCTCTCCACAGATGTTCTATAGGCTTTAGGTCTGGGCCGCTCAAAGACAGTCTTTTCCTGAAGTCACTGCCCTGTTGTCTTGGCTCTGTGCATCAGGTCACTATCATGTTGAAAGGTGAACCGTTGCCCTAGTCTCAGGTTGTGTAGCAGGTTTTCACTGCATGCATCCTTCCCTGCTGTGTGACAAACCCTGAACAGGCTGCAGCTTCTATGTAGCCACTCTATAAAGGTCTGATTGATGGAGAGCTGCTGATCGTCCTTCTAGCAATTTCTCCATCTCTGCAGAGGACTTCTGCAGCTCAGTTTGGCCGGACAACCATCTCTAGAAAAACTCTGGGATGTGCTCCTTCATCCTCAGTGGATGAAAGAAAGAAATGGAGTACAGTGAAGTTGTAATTCTCTTCCGACTGGGTCTCAACTGGTGTGCATCTGCTGCACACACATCCCACCAGGCATCACTGGCTGCTACAGGGCAGCTCTGGCTGCAGGGCTTCACTCTCAACTGCAGCTGTCACAAAGCTGTGGCAGCCCCCTCCTTCCCCATCTTCCGTGGGTCAAATTACACAACTCTATATTCAGCTGAATTTCTCATTCAACATTATACCAGGACACTATTGTTCCCCCTCATACATCAGTATTGTTATTTGGTATCAGCTTTTTCTGTCCACATGGTGCTCGTATCTTTGTGCTGTGCTCCTCCATCCTCAGTGGAATCAGTAACTTTATCCCAAAAGCAAAAAAAATTCAAATTAAAAATGAAGAAACTGAGCACTATAAAGTTTGTTGCAACATGGCCATTTCAGTTGTGTGTCCACGAGTGTGTATATGCCACAGCAACACGCTGCACCAGTCATCACCGAGCGCTGGTGGGTCCTCCTCCTCCGTCTCATTGAGGAGCTCTGAACTCGGAACAGACAGATGTCTTAGACAGAAGTGTAATGTCATTCACCAACATGTACTCCCTGCACTAGAGCCGGAGGAGTCAGTGATGTCATCTTTAAGAGAGGATGCATTACTCACATGGGCAAATGCTCCCAAAATGTTCAGCCTCTGTTGGGCCTATTTGAGCCAGAGATGCTCACAAAGCTGCATGAAATTTAATACTGTAATGACAAAAAAACATTTCATTCCAAGGTCTCCAGAGAAGAGTGTCTGTGCAAATTAGCTCTGCCAAATAAGACATTCTTTAGTATCAAGTAATGCTACTAGCACATGTTGTGATCTGTTTTTGGCTTAATGATAAGAACTGCATTCCTCTAACACTAAAATAAATCTAATTAAATAAATAAATACATGGGATGAAAATTTCAGCAGCTGTAAATAGTGCCCCCCCCCCCAGGAATAAACTATGTTACCTGCATTATATTTTGGTCTGTTTTAGCTTTAGTGTACATCTCATATAGACAATATAACAGTATTTCTGGCTGAATTAATAGGAGACGCATGTCTTGGCCCATACTTTATGTGATCGATTTTAACTTAGTGTCAATCTGACACCGGACATTCAATGATCCGGATCTAAAAGTCTAATTTTAGCCCAACATAGCTGTCTGAAACGCTATTCCCAAAACACATTGATAAATTCCACCACAGAGTTCGCCTTCAGAAACAGCCTACTGAGAAACTATTCAAGGAAACCTTGCAAAATGTAACAGCTATACTACTTCAAAAACTTTAATGAGTCTGTACTTGCAGTACAGTCACTGCTCATCAGTCATAAACCAGACAGCTTCTAGTTTTCGAACAGCACTTGGAGCCTGCGGTAGTTTTCCGGCAGAGCGCCGGGCTGACGTGAGGGCAGCGCTCCGCTTGCCCCGCAGTCCCCCGTGAAGCTGCCTTCACTGTGTTTCGCTGCGATAAAGTGACACACTCGCCAAAGCTCGACGTCTGTTCCGTCAACGTAAGCCCGCGAAGCAGAGGGATTAACGCGTTAAGAACAGGCAGAAATACATGGAGGTAAAAGCGTGTACAGCTACTTTACCGTCTTAAACGGCGCGCAGGATATGCTTCCTCCGAAGGTCCGCTGTCAGGTGTGTGGAGACGGGAGCGACACGTCTGCTCGGGACTGCCAAAGCCATGGCCACGGTCTGCAGCGAAACTCCACAGAGCTGTTAGCTGTCTGTGCTCGGTCCTGCTCCGCCCCCCTGCCCCGCCTCCCTGCCCCGCCTGTAAGCCTGTACAGTACGGGTGAATGGGGGTCAGGAGGAGCGGGACTGCCGCCGAGTATGGTTCGTCACCCGGCTCCGCTGTGCCCTCTACCGGCGAAAGAGAGGTAGTGTGGTAGAGGTTACATAATACGGAGAGTCTGGAGAATTAAAGGGGAATGTCAATAGTTTTTTTTACTAAGACCACTCAAAGACCAAATGGGTGGTGGGAAAATGTATTCATTCATAATATATACTTAACAGTAGTGGAAAACAACTAAATAGGCCACTTCTACTATATTGCATTTACCTGACAACTGTAGGCATAGATACCTGAAAATTGTTTTCACACTGACATTGTGGGGACTCATGTAATATATTTATTTATAGTGACAACTTGGTTGAGGTTAGGGCAAGTCTCCAGGCCAGTATAAAGTCCTTTAATTTATGTGAGATAATTGGGTTTAAGGTTAGAGTACAGTTAATGTTAGGTTAGGTAAGGCTTACACAAGTATTGGTTATGGTTAAGGTTAGGGTAAGTCTCAAGGAAATGAATCTAAGTCAATATAAAGACCTGCCAAGTGACAAAAAACAAGGAAGTGTGTGTGTCCACACCCAGTACCACAACCCTCCCCAAGGATGTGTCCTAATCAAATCAACAGAGAAAATACAAATATTAGCCTACACACTACTACAAAGAAATGGTAGACATAATACTCGTAGTACTTGGAATATCTTTACATAGGGGTATACTTTTACTTCTGAATACTTGTATCTCTCAGGTGACATTTTGAAATTTCTGTACTGTCTTTTAGTTAAATACAATACACTGTATTTTATAAGTTAATCATATGTTTTGTATGTCAAATCTATAGCTAATAACGATGGCTGTCATTAAACATGGTAAAACTGTAATGTCCTCTGAAGTGTAGTAAAATAGATGTATAAAGTAGCATAACATAGAAATGTACAAGTACAATAAATTGGCACTTGCTAGCGACATTTACTGTATAATTGATATTGTTATAACAATGACAACATGAACACAATGTGACCATATAAAAGGGGTCAGATCATAGTGATGAACCTAGAGATCAGCTCAATCTACAGCTCTTTATGGAGCTTCACAGAGGGTGATCGTGAATTTCAGTTTAGTGTTTAGCTGTCAGACCCGCACTTTTACTGTTCTGCTTCACTTTCTCTGTTCTATTGTTTCCGGCTGTAGCAGGCAGACTAGGTAAACTATCTACTCTGCTCCACACAAACAGATACAGTTAATAGCTATAGCTTGTGAACAAATAACCACCACATTAGGATGCTTACAAGCCCAACATTTCCCTCAGACCCAAATCAGAGCTAAAAGAATGTAAACACTGGACTTAGACTTGACAGATGGACACATCACTGTGTGTCTGCTGGATGCGAAAACGAGCAGTTGTTTGCTGAGTCTGCCATGTCAACTTAAATGGTGATGATATTGTATTTTTCTATTTATGGTATCGACACACCTGCATGTTGAGCCATCAACAAATAAAGGAGACCAGACAAGCAGCTGGAAGGGTTGTTTGTATGTTTCTGTGCTTTTTATTGCAATAATGCATTTGCATGGTGATATCTATTTAAACACACACATTTGTCTTTCTATAGTTCTGAGGACACTCATTCTGCCAAACCCCAATCTAAGCTGAGCCTAATTCTACCCCTAACCCTAAAGCCGAGTGCTAACCCTCAAACAGCCCTTTGGTATCGCAAGCACTGGCCACTATGTCAACACAACAGCAGCACTGAACAAAAATTTGTCCAGACAGCCACGGAAACACACACATGTGCATCGTCATCTATGGTTAAAATAAAACAAGAACCTTTAAACAATAAACACAAACACACGAGGAAAATATCTACCAATGAACCACAAACTGTCTGAATTTGGACAGAGATGCACACACACACACACGTTCTCACCCAAAAACACATCCCACCACCACCCATGCTCACACGAAGTGAATGCACGCAGTATTTATCTCCCCACACATGCACATGAGCAGGCACAAGCTCAAGTCCACACAAAGACCTGCTGAGAGAAGTGCTAGAGGTTTGTCAGAGTCAGTGATACAAGTGCAGAATATATTTTTTATTTTTTAACACTGATGATGCCATAGCTACAATAGCTAGACCAAACTGTACTGTTTGCAACACAGACAGACGGGCCAACAATCCAACATTTACTTTCACTTTTACAGTCACCTGGTAGCATCTCCAGAGCAAGAGGGAAGAAGAATCATACTGATATAGTACCAAATAAACTTCAGACTGAGCATTTCAATTATTCTCTATTATATAGTGCATTTTGTCTATATATACTATTTACAGAACAGGAACATACTGTGTATTTAAAGGGATTACATTTACACATGGAACAGCTATTTTTTAACAGCCACTACACATTCACTAAAAAGCCTCTCACATTCTTCATTTTCTAATGGCTTCAGGATTTGTGTCCATATTAGTCTGTATTTTGTTTACACTGCTTGTGTTTGTGAGGATACATATACATACAACAATAACTACTTTTAGCAAGACAAGAAATATGTAACAAATACAATAGTTTTTTTTACACACAATACACAAAACAGCACTTTTTACAATCATCTATTGCAATTTCATTACAGAAACAAATTTGTTTTTTTTTTGTTTTTTTTTTACATTACAATTTCCGTAAGTTTGTCAAGAACTGACAGCAAAGATAAGTAGGAGCAAAGTGATAATGCCAGTAGAGACATGCTGAGATTAAGGAGGACTTGTGTGTTCCTCTCTTTAACCAAGTGTGTATTTAGATGGATCAAGTGGACGGACGGACAAGATGACGATCTCTTCTTCTCCTTTTCCTCATTTTGTCCCATGGGTGGCTTGTTGATGACGAGATGCTCCCCTATTCGTAGAAGGTGCGGTCTCTAGAAAAAGAAGGAAGCAGAAGAAGCCGTTTCAGTGTCCTGGGGTTTGCGTTATGTTACTCTCCCCCTACTAGACTTCCTACTTGAGAGGGTCCCTGTTTAGCAGCAACCAACTCCAGTGTACTCACAAAACGCCAGCATAATGCTGGGCAGTGTCTGGAGTGAAGCAAATAGCACCAGGCAGGATTCAACAGGCTGTGAAACAAGAAGCGAGCCAATACAAGAACCCATTACTCTTTGTTCTCCTGGCACCACTGCGCTTGTGATGTGTGAGGTGTCAGATAGACGTGCTTTGTTGCCAAGGGGCAGGTTTAAAACCTTTGAATTGGGAGGCCAGACAGAATTACACATTTCAAG